GAAGATTGACATCTCCAAGTATAGGGGAGTCGAAGAGGACTCCCTCTTGAGATGGTTCGTCGAATTGGATGACGCCATAAGGGCGCGTCGCATCGACGACGGGGATATGCAAGTTGCATTCGCCCAGTCAAATCTGGCAGGACGTGCCAAGACTTGGGCACTGGGGCTCAAGTTGCGCGACCCATATGCGTTTGGGTCGTTGGAAGTCTTCAAGTCGCGGCTCAGACAAACGTTTGAACCGCCTACAGCTGAGTTCAGAGCTCGAACCGAACTCTTGAAGCTCAAGCAGGGTAAGCGTGATGTGCACGCTTACGCCCAACATATACGACATCTTACGAGTTGTATAAGTTCCGATCCGGTGGATGAACACACGTTGGTTTCGGTGTTCATGCAGGGTCTTGCGGATGGTCCCATCATGACTCACCTGTTCCGGCTTGAGCTAGATTCACTAGAACAAGCCATTTCCATTGCGGAGCAGGAAGACTTCAGTCTGAGACAGGCTCGCGCCAGCTCGACATCATATCGTCAACCGAGACGATATGACAACGGAGGTCCAGAGCCGATGGAACTCTGTTATGTAGAGAGCGAGAAGGCTCGCTCTACAGACTACAAGAAGTTGCAGAGATGCAACAGATGTCAGAAGACAGGACACTACGCTTACGAGTGTAGTGCCCCTCGTCCAGTGTCTCGCGACACTGGGCGTAGTGACCGTCCACCCATGAGAAAGGGGCAGGGACGAGGGTCCGCAGTTGGTGCAAAGACGCAACAACGGGATGGACCGTCAAAAAATGGACAGGATTAGTAGGTGCGGAGCAACCTACTGGTCCAGCAACGTCAAGAGAATTTGTAGGCCTCTTGATGAAGGTTGCTCCTAACACACAAACGTTGTGCGTTGCTGCTCTAGGCAATGAGGTATCACTCATTACCTTGAAACTCGAAGTGACGAATACGTTGTCCCTTCGAGCTCTAGTAGATTGTGGGGCGTCCGACAATTTTGTGCGACGCCAATCGCTAGAAGATGGTCACTTTAAATTCAGTGAATGTGACACACCTCCTACGAGGATGACGGTACGTCTTGCGACAGGCGCATCCGTAACCGTCATGAAGCGTATAGTGAAGATCCACTATACGCTAGAAGATACCCAATATGACGATGACTTTATCGTATTGGAATTGGATGACAAATTTGATGTCATCCTTGGAATACCGTGGCTCAGAAGGTACGAACCACGGGTAAACTGGCAACATCGGACAGTAACGATGCCTGCCGCTTGCTCATCAGATGGCCATCTGATGAACGTTTTGGAGCGTCCACAAGCGTGTGGATGTACTACGAGTGAGTGCGATGGCCTCACTTGTGGTACGGTCGTTAGTACGACTGAACAAAACCTTAGTGTACCAAACGGTTACACTTCGGAGCAAAGTTCCGGCGGCTGTGAGGAAACACAGGCTGCGCCGAAGGTCTACCACTCGAATAAGTCGGGTGGACTGGGACAAAGATGTCTCCCTAGCGGGGAACATCTAGAAGAGAAACAATCGATCGCTCAGGTTAAGCGAAACGATAATCCTAGATCGACTGGAGAGTCTTTCGTAGAGGATCTCGCTGTGGTTGCGCAACGCCATCTAGAGGAAGTAAAGGGAACAAGTCCCAAGATTACAAATACGGCGGAAATAAGTTCCCCGAAACCCGCGGGAACAAGTCTCCGGAGAGGCAGAAGGAATAAGTCCTTCGAGGCCTGAGGGAATAAGTCCCCAGGAAATGACAGAGACATTGAATGTCATAGTCAATAACGGATCTAGTGTAGGCGCTTATACACTTGATCTGATTGCGCCTCCGAAGTTGACTTCGGAGATCACTCAGTTGCCAACGCTCGAACATAAAAGGTTCTTGCGTGATCTGCGTAGTGGCAAAGTCAAGCAGATCTGCGTACTCGTCGCTGACGACGAGTGTGTAACCGACATAAGGTCAGCAACAGTGTTTACTGAGAACGAGAGAGTTCTCAGTAGTTCATCTATGGACGAGAGTGTCCTAGATGAAAAGACACAAATTGAGCGATATGACTCCCAATCGTGGGAATCGCTCAAGAAAAATCCTCTCTATGAAGATTTGGTTGAATTCAAGGATGTATTCCCTGAAACTGTTCCGTGCGAATTACCGAAGGATAAAGGTATTCGACACGAGGTCGAGCTTAAACCAGGCTCGAAGTGCTGTGTCATGAAGCAGTGGCCACTGCCTCGTGAACAAGTACTTGCGATCGACAAGTTCTTTGCCGATCGTTTAGCTGCGGGCCATGTGAGGGAATCAACTTCCCCACATAGCTCTTCGACCTTCTGTGTGCGAAAAGCAACAGGAGGGTGGCGGATAGTGCACGCGTTCAACAAGTTGAATGCTGCAACGGTACCGGCTCAGACGCCGATACCGAGGAAGGACGTAATCATTGATGGTATGTCAAAGAGTACCATCTTTTCGTCCATGGATTTGATGAATGGCTTCTATCAAATCCTTATGCGAGAACGGGATATACACTATACCGCAGTTAGCACGCCTAGCGGCATGCTCTGGGAATGGCTAGTAATGCCACAAGGGCTTAGTAATGCCCCTGCCACGTTCAACAGATGTGTATCACATCTGTTGAGGCCAGTACGAGAATTCGCGCCGAGTTATTTCGATGACGTATTCATCCATAGTCGAGCTATGGATGGAAAGTCGGACGTTGAGGTTCACAGGTACCACGTCCGACAGGTTCTTACAATCATGCGAAAGCATCAATTGTATGCAAACCTCAAGAAGTGTATATTTGCAGCAAGCGAAATACCACTTCTTGGGTGCATCGTTGGTAAGAACGGTGTACGTCCTGATCCCGAAAAGATCAAGGCGATCACCGACTGGCCTGTGCCGGTTGATGTCAAAGGTCTTCGAAAATTTTTTGGGCTAGTGGCGTATTTGCATAAGTATTCACGCAATTACGCCTAAATGACTGTGCACCTCTCTCGTTTATTGAAAAAGAACGAGAGGTGGTTATGGAACGCTGAATGTCAGCGCTCCTTTGATTGTATCAAGCAGAGCTTGATACAATCCCCAGTCCTAGCAATTGCCGATCCGGACAGGCCATTTCATGTGGTCTGTGATGCCAGCGATTTCGCAATCGGCTGTGCATTAATGCAGTACGATCTTGAAGGCGTTGAAAGCGTCGTCTGCTATCTGTCGCGTCAGCTGCAACCAGCTGAGCGGAACTATCCAGTGCATGACAAGGAACTCCTTGCCATGGAGTATGCACTCGCGAAGTTCAGAGTCTATCTATTAGGAGATAGAACCTTCGTTGTTTACACTGACCATGCGTCATTACGCACGGCAGTGAACAGCCCGCACCTTTCACAACGAATGGCGCGGTGGTTGTCACTCTTTGCGGAATACAACTTTACGGTCGAGTACAAACCAAAACGACTTAATGTCGTTGCTAATGCACTCTCACGTCGTCCCGACTTTGAAACAGTCGCGAAACCCAACAGTGAGACAGTCACTGTTGCGGTTATGACGTCCTCAGTCCCATCTACAATGTTGTATGATGATGTGAGGCGGGCGTATGCCCAAGATGGTGAGATAGTGAAGTTGTCGACACATCTCTCCCAACCATCTCGAGAATCGTTGAAACGATTGTCGTCTGCGTATCGATCTGCATCAGATCGATACACTACTCGCAACGGTTTACTGTATTATACAGCCGTTTCTGGTGACACACCACGTGTTGTCATTCCAGATGATACTGATCTGCGTTTGCGGATCATGTTCGAGTATCACGATGCTCCTATAGGAGGACATCGTGGCCGGGAGAGAACATATCTCACGGTGAGTCAAGACTTTTACTGGCCCCGCCAGTATCAGTTTGTGCGAAAGTATGTTCGCGCATGCGAAATCTGCCAACGAGTGAAGCCAAGTCCTTCACTGCGTGCACCTTTAAAGCCTCTACCGGTTCCGGCTGAGTGCTGGGAATCCATCTCAATGGATTTCGTCTTCGGTTTACCCAAAGACGCACGCGGGAATACGGGTATTGTCGTATTTGTTGACAGATTCAGCAAAATGGTACACCTTGTGGCTGTACCAGAGACAATCACGGCAAGTGGCTGTGCTTGTGTCTTTATTGACACCATCTTCCGACTTCATGGGTTGCCCCGTGAACTCGTATCAGACAGAGATCCACGATTCACTGCTGATTTCTGGCGTTCCGTGTTCAAATCACTCGGAACGCGCTTGAAGATGTCGACATCTGATCATCCAGAGTCAGATGGTCAGACGAAACGCGCCAATCGTGTCCTCGAAGAGATACTTCGAGGATACGTACACTCCTTTAAGAGTTGGAGTGAGTTTTTGCCAATGGTAGAGTTTGCCATTAACAACTCGGTGCATGCGTCAACGACACATACACCGTTTTACGTGAATGGCTTGCGCCATCCGCGTGTACCCACCTTACTAGAGTGTAACTCTGGTTTAAGGGGGGGAGGGACTCGCGCGAGCAAAAACCGATTTGGTTCACGCTCATCACGCTCTGACGAAGAGGTCATTGCGTTTGATGCCGATATCGATAACATCGATATCGAAGAAGATGATGCCAGTGAGAGTGCGGAAGCCCTCACTGAAGAAAAGGTTGATGTTGCTGCACTGCGCTCACAGCGCACTGAAGCTAACGAGTCATCAGATGAGTTCATACTGGCTCGTGAAACGGTAGTCCGTTTTGTGCAAGACTCCATCGCCGAAGCGGTGGATAAGCAAAAGCAAAAAGCTGACAAGAATGGAAGGGCAAACATTTTTTTATTTAACGAAGGTGACTTAGTCCTACTGTCTACGGTTAATCTACCAAAGCATGTAGTGACTAACTTGGGTAGCAGTAAACTACTACCCAAGTACATCAGCCCATTTCGTGTATTGCACCGCCTAGGCAATGCGTACACGATCGAGTTACCACGTAAGATGCGAACGCATCCCAGGTTTTTCGTTGGTCGGCTTAAGCCGTACCATCAGTACGCTGCTTCTTTCGATGAAGAACGCCCTTGCGCTCAAGCATCTCGCAGAGAGCCTTGTGCTCCCGATGGTGGGCATCAACAAGGGTCTGAAGAGCAGCTATCTCATCCCGAGACCGATCAATATCCACACGAGCTACCCTTAGCTCGTCACGAAGAGATTTCAGAGATCTCTCGTTCTCAAGCTGAGCAAAGGCAAACTCAGCTCGATGCTTCAAGACAGTGTCCCCCATTTGGAGACGCCTATTCCGCTCATGTTCGAGATCGTCGCGTAACCCTTGCGTTACGCGATCAAAGAAGCTCTCGGGAACACACCGATCCACATGATCGTGTGTAGAGCGTCTTTCCACCTCCTCCACCTCCATTAGAGGACTCTCGCGGTGGCCAGCGCTATCTAGTTGAGCAGCTGTTGAACCACCGCGACGTGAACGGACGTCGGACGAGTTATCTCGTCCGGTGGCGCGGCTATCCCCCGTCCTGGGATTCTTGGGAGCCCCGCTTCCAACTGATGATCGACGTACTGGGTCTTGTTGAGCAGTACGACGCGGCACATCCGCCTGTGCCGCAGAAGGACCGCCGGAGAAAGTCTTCCCGGCACGGTCATAAAGGGATTTCAGGTTGTCAATCCCTTCGTACATCTCAGTAGAGACACGTACGCGCCACCACGGGCTAGTAAGGAGGTAAGCCTCCTTAGGTGCTCGTGCAGAGTTGTTCGCACAACATGGGCACGAGTCTCCCCAAGAGAGGCAGGGTAATCCTTTCTCCCTTGACAGACGATGCAGCTTGTAGCGTGCACCTGTCGGGGTTCGCTTTTCAAACTTATCACGAGCTTTGATAAGTTTGTCGTTCCAAGCGTCAAGACCAACATCCTCGAGGTTATGGATGTAGGCGTTCCACGCCTGAAGTAGTGAGGGACCATCACGTTTGTGATTCCCACTGTACCATCGATGTCTAAAGAAAGCATCGATGAAGAATTCGTGCTCAGCGCGATAGTTTTTCGCGCTGGGGTCAAGGTGATGGATCCTTGACGAATCGAACAACCGTGTTCGATAACGATCACTCGTCGTCGCCGACAAGTGATCCATGACGGATTTAGGAGGCATCCATGCCTTCTTTTCTGGAGCGAGACGCAAGACATTGCGGTCTCGCTCTTCCTGCGACGTGCCGACAGAAGGACTGGTAACTCGTTGCGAAGTGGTGTCCATTGGAGAACCGACACCACTATTAGCGCCCGAGTCTCGCGACCTCGAGCGCCTTCGCTTCGGCGATGGTTCATCTGATTCGTCAGATGAACCAAAGATGCTGCGACGCAAAGCATCGTCCATGCCACGCTTGGCAGGCGGCTTGGATTCAATCGCCGTCGATACGGATCCGTCATCCGTATCAGGAGAGTACGAGACACCGAGCTCGTACTCTGTGAAGACACGAGTCTCTTCATGACCAGCGCCTGCGTCACCAAGTGACACAGGCTGGGTCTCTTCAGCAACCGATGAGACATCAGTTGCTGCGGTTTCTGCTTCGTCGTCCGCCCAGAGACGTGCGGACGCGCTCTCGGCGGCCTTGCTCGCGCATCGCGTGGGCTTGTTAACCATGCGATGAATTGTTGGGGAGTGGCCTCGGACCAACAAGTGCAAATCCTGTCACAAATGATTTGGGACGAGTATCCATTTAGTCAATCAGTCACTAAAGTGACTGATGGTTAAGGGGGGGGGGGTAACGGGGTGAATCGTTACATAACAATCTAAAAGAAATTGTTAATAGAATATAACTATATTCTCAGAATATTGTCATAAGGACAAACATTCTGTAGCACTTACAAGTAGTTCCTAATTGGTTGATATAGGCCATTATCTCAACCAACGAAGACGCGCCACGACAGACGCACGCAATGAGTGGTGAGCAGATAGTTGATTTACACATTTGTATTTAGACATAGTTAGATGAACATAAATAGTGATTTATTGCAGACATTAACTATTATAAATACAGTTCTACTTTTTACTCTAACCAAGTACTCGCTTCTTCTTACCGTCTTCCTCTGCACGTACGAGTGTACGTGAGGTTACGAGGCACCGCCTTATTCTGTCATCAGAATAAGTAGCTTGTACTGTCACCAGTACGAGCTTCAGGGTGCCCCGTTACACATCCCAAGCACATGTATTTTTTAAGTCCGTGCCACACTTCGTACCTACTCAAATTTTTTCGTGCCTTTACACGAAAATCCCCTTTAAGGGTTCGAACACGGTACAGCGAATGTAGGAGAACAGAATCTTGTTAGTGGTGCTGGGCTGTCGCTCTGAATTTCCTACACCTGGGATGTTACTTTAGTGTTTACCTTTCGGATTGCAAGCTCCACTGCCTACCGTAGATGACGCGGTACAAGTTGATCCCCCTCAGGTTTAGGCCCAAAATAGAAAACTTTACGACCAGGGAAAGAGGACCGGTTTCCCGGCCTATAAGAGATTTTTGCTGTAGCGGGGGTGCCTCCGTTTTTATGATAGTTTACAGAAGGTAAATACCCCAAGTACGAATGTTCTGTTAAAACAGACACAACATTCTCACAATGGTAGCGAAAGAGGTAATGTTGTGTTGCGGAAAAAATAGACTGATCATTGGTTGACATCTATCAACGATATAAACCGATAGCCGAGTCACTAAAGAAGAACGCAATGAGTGTTGAGCAGAATGTTACGATACATGTTTGTATTTAGACACAGTAGAATAAGGCTAAATAGATTTTATTGACGGGGGAGTAATTAAACTAGATACAGTTCTACTTTTAACCCTTTAACGTGCTGGACTCTTTCTCTGCATGACGCGCGTACGTGCAGTCTCGAGGTGCCACCTTAATCTGTTTTCAGTGTAAGCAGCAAGTTCTGTGACAGCTCAAGCGACCGGTGAACAATTACACCCGGTAACACTTCTTAGTCCGTCCAACGACTATGAACATGTTGGATGATGAAGCGGGAAGACTTCCATACAACGTACCAGAGCTACTCCCATATAAGCCAAATTGAATGGGATTCTGTCGAACGCTTGATTTCGACAAGAGGACAAGAAGCCGTAGGCGCAATGCTTTCCACTCTGGTTCAGAACGGGCTGCACGCCACCATATTCAAGCTCTTTCAGAATATACTTGACTTTTAACGAAAAGATAGCCTTATTTCACCAACAAGGGTGTCAACAGACATAGCTGTGAGATAACAGAGTGATCAGCAGTTCTAGTTGTTCAAATAGAATCAGGCTACTTCCACCCTGTAGAATTACTCACATGAACCCAAATCAATAAAGATTGATATCTCCAAATATAAAGAGAAAAAAAATCTCTATTTAGATGGTACGTTCAGATTGATGACACCACAAGTGATCGACACATCGTCGATGAATAATTTCTCAGTCAAACTTGGCAGGGCCTGCGAAGACTGAGGCCTTGAGCTTCAATCTACAAGAAATGTCGGTTTTTAAGTCGATAGAAGTTTTCAAGTCTCTGATTAGACAAGCATTTAAAGCACCACGAGTGAGTTCAGGATTCGCTCTGATCCCCTGAGACTCGAACAATCGAACGTGCTGTACACTCGTAAATTCATTACGTACGTCATATTACGAGTTGCATCACTTCAAATCCGCCGAATGAACAGCGTTGATCATTTTTTTCATGCAGGGTCTCACAGACGGTCAAGTCAGGACCTATCTCTTCCGAATAGAATATATATCTTGAAAGAGGCAATTAAATTTGTGGAATAATAAGATTCAAGCGTAAATTAATCTCACGAAAGCTCAAACTCCTATCGTCCCCCAAGGCGACAGGAACGTGGAGGCGCACAACCGATGAGCCTCTGTTAAGCTGAAAGTGAAGGCTCTCGCGTTACCATTTACATGAAATTTTAGGCTTTCAAAAGGTGTTGAAAGACAAAGCACTATTCTTACGAATGCAGTGCCCCGAACGCGGTACCACGAACCGTAGGAAACAGTTACCGTTAAGCAGCCAAGAAGGGTCCTACGTTGTTGCGAAAACGCAACAACGTAGCGGACAACCAAAGATTATCACGGTCAGTAGGTGCGGAGCACCCAACTGATCCAGCAACGTCAGGCGGATTTGTAGGCCTCTTAATGAGAGTTATAGTAACACACACTCATTGTGTGTTACTGTATCAAACGATGATGTTTACCTTATTACATTGATACTGGAAGTGGCTGAAGACATGTCACGACGATCCCTAGTCGATAGCGAGGCGCCAAACAAATTGTACAACTCCAATTTATATACGATAGCAAGCTCAAATCATCGAGCGAGAGATCCCTTCTACGAGGATGACGGTACGCCTCGATACAGGCTCATCTGTAACACTGATAAAACTTTTATTGAGAATTACCTGTACATGAAATAAGTCCAATTCAATAATAAATTCATCGTCTTGAACTTGGACGACGAATTTGATGTTATCCTTGTTTACCGTGGCTTGGAGGTACGAGCTACAAGTTATCTGGCATCGACGAAGTGTCGATATGTGTAACGGAGTCACACGTAGTTGGGTACCTGGTACCCTGAGTCTTAGACACACGGATTATATCCCAGTAAAAAAAGATATAAAATTATAGGTTTGTAGGGGCTGACTGGTGCCAGCCGCTAGATAGGAGAGATCTTAGTTGTACTTACTTATATTGAGACATTCTATAGATGTAAATGTATTTAGATTTTAGTATCCCTTTTGATCTTACAGACACGTGCCTTGCGTGGCGTCTTTGATCGATTATCGCTGATCACTAAGAGTTATCAACACCTCACTGGGGTAGCTGGTTACTCTTGAGCACTACGTGCTGTCGATTCATTGAATCGTTTGGTCCCCTGGAACAAGTACCATAAGCTTTACGCTTGTTGACTCATTGAGTCTAGTTCTTTAGAACTAAGTTGCTCGCTAAGCGTTACGTCTTCCTCTGACATTAAAAGCTGCGCCGCTTGTTTAACCTTGGTGCTTGCAACACCATGTGGATGTACTGCGAGTAGGTGCGATGGCCTCACGTGCGGTTCGGTCTTTACTACGTCTGCACAAGATCACAAAATGTATAATTATCATATCGTGGAGGAAGATCCCGGCGACTATATAATTAATTTAACAGAAAGCGTCAAATGCCCACCTCTCGAATAAGTCGAGCGGACCGAGCATAGTTGCCTCTTTAATAGACAACACCCAGTTCATGACCAACCGATTGCCAGCAATTGTCTATACGGTATAAAGGTCCGAGAGGATAGAGTTGAGGTAATAGGTATACAACGAATAATTTTTTTAAGTTCCTATGAGATAAAGAGACATCTACTGTCCTGATTAATGACGTTTCAGCATAGGTAGCCATATGCTTAGTCTGATAGTGCCTACAAGATTAAATTAGGAGGTCACTCAGTTGCCTCCGCTGAAACAAAGAGATTATTGCGCAATTTGCTGATGGCAAAGTCAAGCAGATCTACATACTCGTAGCAAAAGAGTGAGTATGTCAGTGATATCCGATCGGCGATGGCTTTTCCGGAGAACGACGACTTCTCATTAGCTCATCAATGTTCGAGAGTGTCCTTGATGAGAAGACTTAACTTGAGCAATAAATTTTCAATTTAGAAATCGCTCTGAACAAATCCTCTCTATGGTGATGTGAAGGTATCTAGGGACGTATTCCGAGTAGCTGTCCTGGGCGAGCTACCTAAGGCCAAAGGTACTCGTCACTAAAACGACCTAAAACCGGGGTTGAAATACTGTTTCATGAAGCAATGGCCACTGCCTCGTAAACAGGTACAAGCGGCAAATTTGTTGTAGATCGCTTAGCAGCTGACCAGTCGAGGGAATCGACCCCCCACATATATTTACGACCTTCTGTGCAAAAGGCCACAGGAGGGTTGCGGACAGTACACGTCCTTAACAATTTGAATGCTACCACCTGCCGGCTCAACATCAATTATTAGAGGAAATGTCATCATCGATGGTATGGCTAAAAGTATCAGCTTTTCATTCATGAATAGGACGGATGGATTTTATCAGATCCTAAAAACGCAAAAGGGATATCCCGTTAACGGCAGCAAGTATTACAAGAAGTATTTATCTGTGAGTAGCTAGTAATGCCACAAGTGATCAGCAACGCCCCTGCCATATTCAACAGATGTGTGACAAATCTGTTGAGATGTGAACGAGAATTTGCGCCCAGTTACTTCGATGATGTGCTCGACCATATCTGGGCTATGGATAGACAGAAGGATGTGGAAGTGCACCGAATCCACGTCTTGCTAGCTGTTACACTAATGCGCAAGCATAATTTGTACGCCAACCTCAAGAAGTTTATGTTCCTCGTAGCCAAATACCACTTCTTGGGTTCATCGTGGGCAAGAATGGATTCCAGCCCGATCCAGATAAGTTTAAGCCGATCACTGGCTGGCCGGCACCTACAGATGTCAAGGGACTTTAAAAGCTCCTCACATTAGCGGCACATTTGCATAAATGTTTATGCAATCATCCGAGATGACTGTCCATACCGCTCGTTTATTGAACAAGAATGTGAAGTGGGAACAAATTGCCAACTGCCGGCGCTCTTTCGAAGGTTTCAAGCAAAGCTTGAACACGTTTGCCAGTTTTGGCAGTTGCAGACTAAGTCAGACCATTACACGTAGACTATGGTTTCTATAAACTTTGCATTTGGCTGTGCATTAATGCAGTACAATTCAGACGATGCGGAGTGTGTCTTATTTTACCACTTACTCTGGATGCAACCAGCTGAAAGCAACAACTCCGTCCACTACAAAGAACGCCTTGCCAGAAAGTACGATCTGGCTACTTTTAGATTTTATCTGCTAGGTTATAGACCCTTCATCGTTTGTACGGACCATGCGTCTTTACGCACAACCGTAAACAATCCAAACCTCTTTTGGCGGATGGCGATATAACTGTCATTCATTGCGGACTATAACTTCCCCGTCGCGTATAAGCCAGGACGACTTAACTTCGTTGCTGAAGTACTTTCGCTCCGGCCGATTGCAAGACAGATGCGCCACCCGACACTGGTTCAAACACTGTCGCCGTAATGACTTTGAGTGTCTCGTCTTTAACTTTATTGTAAGACATTCGAAGGGTGTATGGTCCAAGAATGGAGCGATTGATTCCTCATCTCTCGCACCCATTCGAAAGAGCACAAAACAGTTGTCGTCAGTGCACCAATCCTCATAAGAAAGATGTACAGTTTGCAATGACTTTCTTCAATATTGAATTATTTTTGGCGACATACCTCGTGTCATCGGACCAGATCCTGGTGATATGCGTTTATGTATCATGACGAGTACTAAAATGCACCTGTCGGTAGACATCGCGGTCGATAGAAGTCATTTTTTGGCGAGCCGCGACTTTCACTGACCCCGCCAGTTTCAGTTAGTGCGCAAGTACGAATGTGCATGCGAAGTATGTCAACGAGTGAAGCATAATCCTTTACTTCGTGCGCCTTTGCAAACCTATCCCATTATGGCGGAAAGCTAGAAATTTGTCTCAATGGACTATTTCTTTAAATTCTCCGCAGACCCCTATAAGAATACAGGTATTCTTTTTCTCGTCGATAGATTTAGTATAATGGTAAATTTGGTTGCTGTACCTGAATATATCAATGCAAAGGCATGTGCACGTGTTTTTATCGACACGATCTTTCGTCTTCATGGGTTGCCTCACAAGCTCGTCTCCAATCGAGACCCGCGGTTCACTGCTACATTCTGGCGATCCGTGTTCAAGACACTCGATACGCGCCCCCAGATGTCGACCTCTGACCAGCCCGGAACAGACGGTCAGACAGACGTGCCAACCGCGTTCTCGAGGAATACTTTGGGGATACATTAATTCCTTTACGAACGGGAGCAAATTCTTGCCCTTGGTCAATTTCTCCATCAACAACTCGATCCATGCATCGACGACGCATTCACCGTCCTTCGTGAATGGGTTGCGCCATCCGCGTCTTATGTACTTTTTTACAGTGAAAGCCTTATTTAAGGGGGCTTGTTCGAGTGACCGTCAACCCGGCTCTCACTCGTCACGTGCTGCCGATGCGGTCACCACGTTTGACGCCGATGTCTATCACATCGGTTTTTGTGAAGAAGACAGAAGTACAACAATTCATTATTTCTAAAACGAACATGAAATATAATAATGAATATGATAAAAAGATCTATGCTAGATACTTTTTTACATCAAAAAATTTTAACGTTACATTTCGATAGTTTCCTTGATTGATAAAAATGAATTTTAAATTCATCTGATTTCTCAAGTATCGAATTTAAAAATGTTCAATTAATTTTACTTTCATGTTTTTATTATGCTCAAAAAATTCAAACGATAAAATTAATTTCGTGGTTTTGATTTAGTCGTAATATTTATTAGAAGTGTTAAAAAACCAATTGTGTTTCTTCGTAAAATTAATTTAAAATATTATCTATAGATTCTACGTAATAAACCCATTAAATCATAGATTTGCTGAATTTTTTATGACTTCGATGCTAAAGAAGTAATACTTATTACAAACTTTGATGTGTACGTATCAAGAAAATTTCTAGTACCTCTAAAGTTGAAACTCCTTGATCTAAAAAATTATCTTTTACATCATTTTTATCAAATTTGATTATTTTATTTCACTTTCAATTAGATGTAAAATTCTTTACATAAATGTTGTATTTATAATTTAAAATACCCAAAAAAGCCATCCTTTACTAAAACATATTGAAATTGTCTCGCAAAAATTGTACGCATCATGTAATGCAATATCTAAACAAAATTATACAAAACCACACCAGTTACTCAACCCATAGCGAATAGACATGTATAACCAAAGACTAGTAGTAAAGGAGTAAAAAATAATGATGATGATCTTACTGGCAACGACAATGATCAAATTAGTATCACGCCTGTTGCTTCCACTGACACACCTACAGGGGCGATAAGTGATCTTGCTACAGTACTATCCAGGGGCACTGCAGCTTCAGACAGTGAGTCAGCAGGTGAAGTCACACTGGTTCAAGAATAGGTTGTTCGTTTCGAGCAAGACTCTATCGCAGAGGCGGTTGATCGACAAAACCGAAACGCTGACAAGATTGTAAGGGAAAACTTGTTTTGTTAATATATACGACTTGTTCCTACTATCTACGACAAACCCTCCTTGTCACAAAGGACTAACATAAGAATCAACAAGTGACTAACGTGGGAATTAACAAGTTACTAACGTGGAAATTAACAAGTTACTACCCAGGTTCATCGGTACATTTTATTTGCTACGCCGCCTAAGCAACGCATTACGATTGAACTGCCACGTAAGACTCGCACGAACCCTACAGTCTAAGTCTGTCGCCTTAGGCCGTACTATCAGTGCGTGACTTCTCTTGACGAAGAAAGCCCTTGCGCTAAAGCACCTGCATCATATACTTGTGCTCATGATGCTGGCCTTCAGCCCGGGATAGAAATTTAGATATCTCCCCGTGAAGTCGAGAGATTTCCTGACAAGCTTCCGTCAGCCCGCCGCGGAGAGAACGCGGTTCTCGCTCGTTTGCCATTAGGGAAAAGACATACCTTGCCCTTTCTTTCTCTCCATCTAAGCTTAGACGGTTCACATTGCCAAGCGTATCCAGACGCCTGCCTTTCTCACGTTCAAGGTTTTCGCGTAATTCACACGGTACGCAATCGAGCTGACTCACAGTATCAGAATGGAAAAACAAATCCGTCAGAATATGTGTTCCTCTTTCACATCTTCTATTTGATTGATACTCGCGGTGATTCACGCTCTCCAAGGAACAACTGTTCAATCACCGCGATGTGGAAGGACGTCGTACGAGTTGCCTTGTCCAGTGGTGTGTCTATCATCCCTCGGCATATAGCTGGGTACCTCGCGTGGAGATGATGGTGTATGTATCAGGCTTTGTCGAGAACTATGGCGAGGCACATCCGATGCTGTAGAAGGTCCATTACAGAACGAACGCCCAGCGAGTTTGTAGAAGGATCGCAAATTAGCTATTTCCTCGTAAATCTTCGACGAGACGCAATACCACCACCAGGCAATTGGTCATTGGATAAGCTTCTTTCGTAGCCCGCGTCAAGTTGTTCCCACAACTTTGGCTCGCATCACCCCAAGAGAGGCATGGTAACCCGGATTCTCTCGAAAAGCGATGCGGTTTGTGATGCACCGCTAGAATTTCGCTTCTCGAATCTGTTACAAGATAGAGTCATCTTTTCAGGCCAGGAATTGAGCCTGACACTTATAGCATTGTAGATGAATGATTTTTATGCCTGGATCAGCGAGGCACCATCACGTTTATGGTTACCGCCGTCACATCGATGTTACAATAACATATCGATGTAGCAACTGTGCTCAGTGCAAAAGCTGTCCCGCACTAAAGACCTGGTCATGAATCTTTGACGGATCAAACATCATCACTCGATGACTATCTCTTACCGAGTCGGACAAGCGATCCACCATTCTCTGAAGAGGCGTTTACGGCATTACACCTTTATTCTTTTAAAGCGAAGAACAGCACATCACGATCTATAGCTTTCTGCGTGGTATCAATACAAAACCCAACACCACGTCCAGAACGTTATCCTTTATTGTGGCGCACTACCGTTTTACCGTCGCTTCATTTTGACTGTCCCTTGCCACCGCCTCGATCACTATCAAGCGAATAATAAAGCCTTGGAGACGGAGATTTCGACTCGTCGAACAAACCGAAGATGGAACAAAGATCAACGAGGCTTTAAGTGCTCCGCAAAACCGACCTGATTAACTCCGGTTTGGTCACATCAGGATCTTTCACTGCAGCTGTCGACTCCTAGTCGGCGTCTTCATCCGACTCGCCTGAGTATATGTGCTCGAGCTCGTATTTTTCAAGGTCACGCGGTGCGCGACAACGTGAGCCTACAGCAGTGCCTGCAGCAGGCCGACTAGATGAAGAAGCAGTCGGGTTGTAGCCTGCTGCATAAAAGTCCTCTGCCTCTTCCGCGGAAGCAGAACGTAGTCTTGCATCTGCATTTCCGGCAGCTTTTACCGCGCAGCTCATGGACTTGTTGACCATGCGAGGGAAGCAAGGAATGCTTATAATTGACCAACAAGTGCTTCCCTATCCCAGGATTACTCATAGAACTCACTCATTCACCAATCAGTCACTAATGTGAGTGATAGCTGAGAGAGAATGTTACGGGTTGCCTCAATTACATGATGGTTTACAGAAGTTAAACACCCCAAACACAAATATTATGTTAGATCAAACACAACATTCTCACAATGCTGGCTCAAGAGGCAATATTGTGTTGCAGAGGCAATACTCTGCTCATTAGCTGATGTAATTTAACGATGTCAACCGATAGCCGAGCCACGACAGAAGAGCGCAAAGGGTGGTGAGCAGATAGTTAGAACACACGAGTGTACTTAGACACAGTAGAATGAAGACATAGTAGGATTTAGTAACAAGAGATTAGTCAAACTAAAACAATTTTTTACTTTTAACCCTTTCAATTGCTGGAACCTTCCTCTCCAGAACACGTATACTTAGAGTCTTGAGTCAACACCTTACTATGTGTTCAGAGTAAGCATCTTGTGCTGTGGCAGTTCAAGCTACCGGCGATCCGTTTCGTCGCTTGCCTGTTCTTGCCCGAATGCACGACGTAAACGGTCATTGGGAAGTTGTGCAAGAAAGAAGAAACATAAATTATGAGCCATGTTTTTGAAGTATGTCGATGTACCTCAATGATTGGATTATTGATGTGAGATGAAGAGAAACTAAAAAGCTACATACGTGTACCGCGCGTTGTACGCATTGTAGTAAAAATGATGACACACGACTGGGCACAATGAAAGTCTTGGGAAGTCCGGCCACAACTCGTGGACGAACGCTTGACTTTGTTTTCACCACATCTTGTGCTTCAACTTGACAAAAGATGTAGTCGTTTGTCAGCGTGTTATATCCTCGCCACATTTACCGCTATATGCAAAGCATCGCAGCTCTTAACATGACGAAAGTAGCTGTGATACATATCGGTCAATACTTGTTATTACACATCGCAAGCTAATCAGGCATGTGTTTTGCACGAATCAAACCGCATTGCATCGGTACATTCAATTTGTATACATATTGATTCAGCCTGCGGGACGAATGAGCAGTCAGCACCGCCGTAGACCCTCTAATGACATCAAATTTATGCAGTGCGTGCTTCGTAAACACTGTATTATGTCGCAAATTGTGAAGCAATTATGAACTGGCGTCAGTCGAGAAACATAGCAGCTCAACAAGTACGTAAAATGAGATGTAAAATGGACTACAAGTATGTAGCACCGCCTCTCGCGTATACGACCATTTTGACTCGATCATCCTTTGCTCTCCTGTAAGCTTGACAACGTGCCTTGTTTTTGAGGGTGTGATGTCTTCGTCACGATCGTTATGATCTTATGATCATAGCGTGCAAAGTATTTTACATTCTAAGCATCTACGTCCACCGTTTGTAATTCTTCGCTTAAGCGCAACGAACTGCCATTCTGTTTATCTAATGCTGCATCAGACACCAGATGCATACATCATAAAGTTTGTAGCAACTGCACCATCTTATGACGCTTGATTAGCATGCTAGGATTATTTGCCCGATGCATTTACGTGGCCAGCGTTTGCACGAAATATGAAGCATCGAGCAGAGCTATGGATGGGGAACGTGTTGATGGCTTTCCTGCTAAGAACAAGTATTAAGAGAATTTACCAAGAACACTGCGTAACTCTGGCACCTTGCGTTAATCCCGCTTCCCTTTCAGGCAGATCCACGCACATGCTTTATCCAAGTGATGTACTTGCACACGAAGCTGAAAACGCATAGATGCGTTTGCCAATCTTAGCATCGACTTATTTAGTGCGTGTGTCGGTATAGGACCCACTGTTTGTCAGTTCGTCTAACGAGGGCCGTTCTCTTAATAGTTACTATCATTTGCCTCCGCTTCGTATAAAATCTGATAATCTCGTACTACCAGTAGATCATACACCATGGCCTGAATGCACTCTCGTATCAAACATTCAATAAAGACCTTTAGCGTGATCATAACCTGCACTCGATTGTTTAGCAGCAATCAACATCGTAAACCTGTATCCAAATTTTGAATGCTGAGCCAAATAAATGATCTACACGGTCTGAAATATACGCGCAAGTGTTTTTATGCAAGTATCCATGTACAGCAGGATACCTCACATACAGATCGAGTCGCTCTAAATGCACAGTCTATGAATTCGCCGAAAGCTTCACCTGCGATAAACATTGAGTTGTCTAGTTGTAGACAATAATTGTAAAGGGGCACCGGAGCAAAACACTGGACAACCAGTGTGAGATACTCTCACCGAAAACAATGTGAGTGGTGCCTCACTACCTCTGTAAACTACACAGATGAAGGGAAAGCAACTAGGAACTGACGAGTTGCTGGTAAAGGTAGAACTGTATTAAATATAATTAAAGTCCTACTCACTGACCTATGTTTTACTCCTAGCTTAATTAGATTTATCAACAAAAATGTAATTTAAAGTCTTACTCACCACTGAATGTGCGCTTCCACCGTTGATTGGACCCCTAGAACTGGCTGATATGATGACACGTGTCAGCCAATTGGTTAGTGTTTTTAAATATTAACCCATACGGTATATTCACGAACACTATCATCCTTCATGACAACATTCTAACCAACAAGTATCAAGGGTTAATTACGTGCAACAGGCTCACCCGAAAACATCACCCCCCTCTTTTAAACGATAGTAACTCAATCACTGTCACATTGATGTGTTCACTGTTACACCACATCAGGGACAAGGAAGCACTTGTTTTGATCTGATCCATTCATTTCTGAATTTTTATCGCATAGTGAGCAACTCCTTGTGATGCGCGACGAAAGCTGCTGAATAAGCAGCTGTGAGTGTTAACCCAGCTGCTTTTGACTATGCCTAGCTTTTGAAGACAGAAAATGCTATTTACGCTGACTGTAACGGGGCAAACCTGAAGCTTGTACTGGTGACAGTACAAGCTACTTATTCTGATAACAGAATTAGGCGGTGCCTCGTAACTTCACGTACACTCGTACGTGCAGAGGAAGACGGTAAGAAGAAGCGAGTACTTGGTTAGAGTAAAAAGTAGAACTGTATTTATAATAGTTAATGTCTGCAATAAATCACTATTTATCTTCATCTAACTATGTATAAATACAAATGTGTAAATCAGTTATCTGCTCACCACTCATTGCGTGCGTCTGTCGTGGCGCGTCTTCGTTGGTTGAGATAATGGCCTATATCAACCAATTAGGAACTACTTGTAAGTGCTACAGAATGTTTGTCCTTATGACAATATTCTGAGAATATAACTCTTATAGTTATATTCTATTAACAATTTCTTATAAATTGTTATGTAACGATTCACCCCGTTACCCCCCCTTAACCATCAGTCACTTTAGTGACTGATTGACTAAATGGATACTCGTCCCAAATCATTTGGGACAGGGTTTGCACTTGTTGGTTCGCGTCCACTTTCCAACATTTCATCGCATGGTTAACAAGCCCATGCGATGCGCGAGCAAGGCCGCCGAGAGCGCGTCTGCACGTCTCTGTGCGGACGCCGAAGTAGAAACCGCTGCAACTGATGTCCCATCGGTTGCTGAAGCGACCCAGCCTGTGTCACTTGGTGACGCAGGCGCTGGTCATGAAGACACTCGTGTCTTCACAGAGTACGAGCTCGGTGTCTCGTACTCTCCTGATACGGATGACGGATCCGTATCGACGGCAATTGAATCCAAGCCGCCTGCCAAGCGTGGCATGGACGATGCTTTGCGCCGCAGCATCTTCGGTTCATCTGATGAATCAGATGAACCATCGCCGAAGCTAAGGTGCTCGAGGTCGCGAGACTCGGGCGCTAATAGTGGTGTCGGTTCTCCAATGGACACCACTTCACAGCGAGGTGCCAGTACTTCTGTCGGCACGTCGCAGGAAGAGCGGGACCGCAATGTTTTGCAACTCGCTCCAGAAAAGAAGGCATGGATGCCTCCGAAATCCGTAATGGATCACTTGTCGGCGACGACGAGTGATCGTTATCGAACACGGTTGTTCGATTCGTCAAGGATCCATCACCTTGACCCCAGCGCGAAAGACTATCGCGCTGAGCACGAATTCTTCATCGATGCTTTCTTTAGACATCGATGGTACAGTGGGAATCACAAACGTGATGGTCCCTCACTACTTCAGGCGTGGAACGCCTACATCCAAAACCTCGAGGATGTAGGTCGTGACGCTTGGAACGACAAACTTATCAAAGCTCGTGATAAGTTTGAAAAGCGAACCCCGACAGGTGCACGCTACAAGCTGCATCGTCTGTCAAGGGAGAAAGGATTACCCTGCCTCTCTTGGGGAGACTCGTGCCCATGTTGTGTGAACAACTCTGCACGAGCACCTAAGGAGTCTTACCTCCTTACCAGCCCGTGGTGGCGCGTACGTGTCTCTACTGAGATGTACGAAGGGATTGACAAACTGAAATCCCTTTACGACCGTGCCGGGAAGACTTTCTCCGGCGGTCCTTCTGCGGCACAGGATGTGCCGCGTCGTACTGCTCGACCAGACCCAGTACGTCAACCATCAATTGGGAGCGGGGCTCCCAAGAATCCAAGGACGGGGGATAGCCGCGCCACCGGACGAGGTAACTCGTCCGACGTCCGTTCACGTCGCGGTGGTTCAACAGCTGCTCAACTAGATAGCGCTGGCCACCGCGAGAGTCCTCTAATGGAGGTGGAGGAGGAGGAACGACGCTCTCCACACGATCATGTGGATCGGTGTGTTCCCGAGAGCTTCTTTGATCGCGTAACGCAAGGGTTACGCGACGATCTCGAGCATGAGCGGAATAGGCGTCTCCAGATGGTGGACACTGCCTCGAAGCATCGAGCTGAGTTTGCCTTTGCTCAGCTTGAGAACGAGAGATCTCTGACATCTCTTCGTGACGAGCTAAGAGTAGCTCGTGGGATTGTTGATCGGTCTCGGGCTGAGATAACTGCTCTTCAGACCCTTGTTGATGCCCACCATCGGGAGCACAAGGCTCTCTGCGAGATGCTTGAGCGCAAGGGCGTTCTTCATCGGAAGAAGCAGCGTACTGATGGTACGGCTTAAGCCGACCAACGTAAAACGTGGGATGCGTTCGCATCTTACGTGGTAACTCGATCGTGTATGCATTGCCTAGGCGGTGCAATACACGAAATGGGCCAATGCACTTGGGTAGTAGTTTACTGCTACCCAAGTTAGTCACTACATGCTTTGGTAGATTAACCGTAGACAGTAGGACTAAGTCACCTTCGTTAAATAAAAGAGTGTTTGTCCTTCCATTCTTGTCAGCGTTTTGCTTTTGCTTATCCACCGCTTCGGCGATGGAGTCTTGCACAAAACGGACTACCGTTTCACGAGCCAGTATGAACTCATCTGATGACTCGTTAGCTTCAGTGTGCTGTGAGCGCACTGCAGCAACAACAACCTTTTCTTCAGTGAGGGCTTCCGCACTCTCGCTGGGATCATTGTCTTCAGTGAGGGCTTCCGCACTCTCACTGGTATCATCTTCTTCGATATCGATGTTATCGATATCGGCATCGAACGCAATGACTTCTTCGTCAGAGCGTGATGAGCGTGAACCAAATCGGTTTTTGCTCGCGCGAGTCCCTCCCCCCCTTAAACCAGAGTTACACTCTAGTAAGGTGGGTACACGCGGATGGCGCAAGCCATTCACGTAAAACGGTGTATGTGTCGTGGACGCATGCACCGAGTTGTTGATGGCAAACTCTACCATTGGCAAAAACTCACTCCAACTCTTAAAGGAGTGTACGTATCCTCGAAGTATCTCTTCGAGGACACGATTGGCGCGTTTCGTCTGACCATCTGACTCTGGATGATCAGATGCCGACATCTTCAAGCGCGTTCCGAGTGATTTGAACACGGAACGCCAGAAATCAGCAGTGAATCGTGGATATCTGTCTGATACGAGTTCACGGGGCAACCCATGAAGTCGGAAGATGGTGTCAATAAAGACACAAGCACATCCACTTGCCGTGATTGTCTCTGGTACAGCCACAAGGTGTACCATTTTGCTGAATCTGTCAACAAATACGACAATACCCGTATTCCCGCGTGCGTCTTTGGGTAAACCGAAGACGAAATCCATTGAGATGGATTCCCAGCACTCAGCCGGAACCGGTAGAGGCTGTAAAGGTGCACGCAGGGAAGGACTTGACTTCACTCGTTGACAGACTTCGCATGCGCGAACGTACTTGCGCGCAAGCTGATACTGGCGGGGCCAGTAAAAGTCTCGACTTACCGTGAGATATGTTTTATCTCGGCCACGATGTCCTCCTATAGGAGCATCGATACTCGAACATGATCCGCAAACGCAGATCAGTATCATCTGGAATGACAACACGTGGTGTGTCACCAGAAACGGCTGTATAATACAGTAAACCGTTGCGAGTAGTGTATCAATCTGATGCAGATCGATACGCAGACGACAATCGTTTCAACGATTCTCGAGATGGTTGGGAGAGATGTGTCGACAACTTCACTATCTCACCATCTTGGGCATACGCCCGCCTCACATCATCATACAACATTGTAGATGGAACTGAGGACGTCATAACCGCAACAGTGACTGTCTCACTGTTGGGTTTCGCGACTGTTTCAAAGTCGGGACGACGTGAGAGTGCATCAGCGACGACATTTAGTCGTCCTGGTTTGTACTCTACCGTAAAGTTGTATTCTGCAAAGAATGACAACCACCGCGCCATTCGTTGTGAAAGGTGCGGGCTGTTCACTGCCGTGCGTAATGACGCATGGTCAGTGTAAACAATGAAGGGTCTATCTCCTAAGAGATAGACTCTGAACTTCGCGAGTGCATACTTCATGGCAAGGAGTTCCTTGTCATGCACTGGATAGTTCCGCTCAGCTGGTTGCAGCTGACGCGACTGATAGCAGACGACGCGTTCAACGCCTTCAAGATCGTACTGCATTAATGCACAGCCGATTGCGAAATCGCTGGCATCACAGACCACATGAAATGGCCTGTCCTGATCGGCTATTGCTAGGACTGGGGATTGTATCAAGCTCTGCTTGATACCCTCAAAGGAGCGTTGACATTCAGCGTTCCATAACCACCTCTCGTTCTTTTTCAATAAACGAGAGAGGTGCACAGTCATTTAGGCGTAATTGCGTGAATACTTATGCAAATACGCCACTAGCCCAAGGAATTTTCGAAGACCTTTGACATCGACCGGCACCGGCCAGTCGGTGATCGCCTTGATCTTTTCGGGATCAGGACGTACACCGTTCTTACCAACGATGCACCCAAGAAGTGGTATTTCGCTTGCTGCAAATATACACTTCTTGAGGTTTGCATACAATTGATGCTTTCGCATGATTGTAAGAACTTGTCGGACGTGGTACCTGTGAACCTCAACGTCCGACTTTCCATCCATAGCTCGACTATGGATGAATACTTCATCGAAATAACTCGGCGTGAACTCTCGTACTGGCCTCAACAGATGTGATACACATCTGTTGAACGTGGCAGGGGCATTACTAAGCCCTTGTGGCATTACTAGCCATTCCCAGAGCATGCCGCTAGGCGTGCTAACTGCGGTGTAGGGTATATCCCGTTCCCGCATAAGGATTTGATAGAAGCCATCCATCAAATCCATGGACGAAAAGATGGTACTCTTTGACATACCATCAATGATTACGTCCTTCCTCGGTATCGGCGTCTGAGCCGGTACCGTTGCAGCGTTCAATTTGTTGAACGCGTGCACTATCCGCCACCCTCCTGTTGCTTTTCGCACACAGAAGGTCGGAGAGCTATGTGGGGAAGTTGATTCCCTCACATGGCCCGCTGCTAAACGATTGGCAAAGAACTTGTCGATCGCAAGTACTTGTTCACGAGGCAGTGGCCACTGCTTCATGACACAGTACTTCGAGCCTGGTTTAAGCTCGACTTCGTGTCGAATACCTTTATCCTTCGGTAATTCGCACGGAACAGTTTCAGGAAATACATCCTTGAATTCAACCAAATCTTCATAGAGAGGATTTTTCTTGAGCAATTCCCATGATTGGGAGTCATATCGCTCAATTCGTGTCTTTTCATCTAGGACACTCTCGTCCATAGATGAACTACTGAGAACTCTCTCGTTCTCAGTAAACACTGTTGCTGACCTTATGTCGGTTACACACTCGTCGTCAGCGACGAGTATGCAGATCTGCTTGACTTTGCCACTACGCAGATCACGCAAGAACCTTTTATGTTCGAGCGTTGGCAACTGAGTGATCTCCGAAGTTAACTTCGGAGGCGCAATCAGATCAAGTGTATAAGCGCCTACACTAGATCCGTTATTGACTATGACATTCAATGTCTCTGTCATTTCCTGGGGACTTATTCCCTCAGGCTTCGAAGGACTTATTCCTTCGTCTTCCCAAGGACTTATTCCCGCGGGTTTCGGGGAACTTATTTCCGCCGTATTTGTAATCTTGGGACTTGTTCCCTTTACTTTCTCTAGATGGGGTTGCGCAACCACAGCGAGATCCTCTACGAAAGACTCTCCAGTCGATCTAGGATTATCGTTTCGCTTAACCTGAGCGATCGATCGTTTCTCTTCTAGATGTTCCCCGCTAGGGATACATCTTTGTCCCAGTCCACCCGACTTATTCGAGTGGTGGACCTTCAGCGCAGCCTGTGTTTCCTCACAGCCGCCGGAACTTTGCTCCGAAGTGTAACCATTTGGTACACTAAGGTTTTGTGCAGTCGTACTAACGAACGTACCACAAGTGAGGCCATCGCACTCACTCGTAGTACATCCACACGCTTGTGGACGCTCCAAAACGTTCATCAGATGGCCATCTGATGAACAAGCGGCAGGCATCGTTACTGTCCGATGTTGCCAGTTTACCCGTGGTTCGTACCTTCTGAGCCACGGTATTCCAAGGATGACATCAAATTTGTCATCCAAATCCAATACGATAAAGTCATCGTCATATTGGGTATCTTCTAGCGTATAGTGGATCTTCACTATACGCTTCATGACGGTTACGGATGCGCCTGTCGCAAGACGTACCGTCATCCTCGTAGGAGGTGTGTCACATTCACTGAACTTAAAGTGACCATCTTCTAGCGATTGGCGTCGCACAAAATTGTTGGACGCCCCACAATCGACTAGAGCTCGAAGGGACAACGTATTCGTCACTTCGAGTTTCAAGGTAATGAGTGAGATCTCATTACCTAGAGCAGCAACGCACAACGTCTGTGTGTTGGGAGCAACCTTCATCAAGAGGCCTACAAATTCTCTTGACGTTGCTGGATCAGTAGGGTGCTCCGCACCTACTGATCCTGTCCGTTTTTTGACGGTCCATCCCGTTGTTGCGTCTTTGCACCAACTGCGGACCCTCGCCCCTGCCCCTTTCGCATGGGTGGACGGTCACTACGCCCAGTGTCGCGAGACACTGGACGAGGGGCACTACACTCGTAAGCGTAGTGTCCTGTCTTCTGACATCTGTTGCATCTCTGCAACTTCTTGTAGCCTGTAGAGCGAACCTTCTCGCTCTCTACATAACAGAGTTCCATCGGCTCTGGACCTCCGTTGTCATATCGTCTCGGTTGACGATATGATGTCGAGCTGGCGCGAGCCTGTCTCAGACTGAAGTCTTCCTGCTCCGCAATGGAAATGGCTTGTTCTAGTGAATCTAGCTCAAGCCGGAACAGGTGAGTCATGATGGGACCATCCGCAAGACCCTGCATGAACACCGAAACCAACGTGTGTTCATCCACCGGATTGGAACTTATACAACTCGTAAGATGTCGTATATGTTGGGCGTAAGCGTGCACATCACGCTTACCCTGCTTGAGCTTCAAGAGTTCGGTTCGAGCTCTGAACTCAGCTGTAGGCGGTTCAAACGTTTGTCTGGGCCGCGACTTGAAGACTTCCAACGACCCAAACGCATATGGGTCGTGCAACTTGAGCCCCAGTGCCCAAGTCTTGGCACGTCCTGCCAGATTTGACTGGGCAAATGCAACTTGCATATCCCCGTCGTCGATGCGACGCGCCCTTATGGCGTCATCCAATTCGACGAACCATCTCAAGAGGGAGTCTTCTTCGACCCCCTATACTTGGAGATGTCAATCTTCAAGGTTTCGGGTCGACGCGAGTGCATCGACCCGCCAGCAGCAGCCTGCTGCTGTCTCAACAGTTCAAACTGTTGAGCACCCTGTTCTCTCAACAACTCCGCTTGTTGAGAACCTTGTTGGTGAAGCAAGGCTACTTTCTCGCGTTCAGCGTCAAGTTCATTTTGAATGAACTTGGCGATAGTAGCATGTTGGGCATCTCTGTTGAGAGCCTCTAGCATGACGCTAACAGCATGTATGCCCATGGTCGAACCCATCCGTTCAACCGCATCCCATTCGATATCGCTTAAGTGGGAGTAGCCGTCACGCGTAGCGTGAAAGCTTTGGTCATCTTCATCATCCAACATATTCATGTTAGATGTGAACGTGGTCCTTGGACGGACTACGAAGTGCTACCAGGTGTAACGGGGCACCCTGAAGCTTGTACTGGTGACAGTACAAGCTACTTATTCTGATGACAGAATAAGGCGGTGCCTCGTAACCTCACGTACACTCGTACGTGCAGAGGAAGACGGTAAGAAGAAGCGAGTACTTGGTTAGAGTAAAAAGTAGAACTGTATTTATCATAGTTAATGTCTGCAATAAATCCCTATTTATCTTCATCTAACAATGTCTGAATACAAATGTGTAAATCAGTTATCTGCTCACCACTCATTGCGTGCGTCTGTCGTGGCGCGTCTTCGTTGGTTGATATAATGGCCTATATCAACCAATTAGGAACTACTTGTAAGTGCAACAGAATGTTTGTCCTTATGACAATATTCTGAGAATATAACTCTTATAGTTATATTCTATTAACAATTTCTTATAAATTGTTATGTAACGATTCACCCCGTTACACTGACGCTGCAACTCTTCCTGCAGCACCAGTTCACGCAGGCGCACGTGGTGAGTCACTCACTACTTGCCAATGATGATGGCTCCCTAGTGGATAATATCTATCCGGGTGAGTCGAACGGTGAGTGCGACTCGAAGAAGACACCTAGGTCGCCGAGTATAAGTCTGTACGTCCAAATAAGAGCCTTTAATAGGACTCGATCGGGTGGTAGACTCATGGTCACTACCAGAGTCGGTTTAGGTTGGAGGATGAGCATGCTGACTCCTCCCCCGCTCCTGCTACTGCGCATTCGCCTTCTAGAGAATGTGGTGATGACTTGCACCTTCGTGATTACATTTCTAGTGGTACCAATTTTTCCGTTAAAATCACACAGGAGTCTCCAGATGGCGATGTGATGCGTTAGGCCCCTGAACACAAGCCTTGAGATTTAGCAGAAATGCCTGTGAAGTACCTGTCTGGAGAGACAATTCTTCATCGCCATAATCCATTGTTCGATGCGAGGTTGTTGGACGGCCTGACATCAGCGCTAGTAATGAAGCTCTGAAGAGGACTTGTATCTCGATAATTTTCTTAAGCATCGTTCGTATAGTGGAAAAAATGAGCTAGACATAAGTCGTTGCTGCAGGTATGGAACGCCTTAATACTCAATGTGCAGCACATTGAGCGCGATGCCTAGATACGAAAACTTGACACAGATCGTGTCAGCTTTGAGAAACGAACCTTAACTGTTTTAAAAATTAGTTATGCATCATCTTTCTCGTGAGGGAGCAAATGCCTCACGTGTGGACACCCATTTCCGTGTTGTTGCGACATCAAAATCAACGCCTTCAAAGGTGTGTTCTCCATTTCTTTGCCCTGGGTAGGGCGCACAATTCTTCTTAGATTCGCGATGCACTTGCTCACCTGCAATCCCTCAGCCATAGACATGGGCGCGTGTTTTCCGATCAAATTCTGAGCCATCGGATGTGTCTCGTCGTACTTTTAGACAAGACTCTCAATTTTAATCACTAGATGGGTGCGAGGCGCCCATCCGTGGTGCGAAGGCGGATAGCCACGCCAGCGAACAAGATCAATCTTTTGCTGCACCTTCACGTCGTGGTAGTTTAATAAACACTACACGTGAAAGCTTTGACCGACATGAGAGTCCACCAACGAATTTGTTGGGGGCGGATTAATCGACTTCGAATGGTTTGTTAAGATTTCAGGCGGAGTTTGGTCGGTTCTAGCAAACGTTTTACGATATGTGTGATTGCACCGAACAAGAGAGCCGGAAGCGTCCCCCTGTAATGACGTGGGTCCAATGCATCTACCTTTATCGATCAGACGGCCGATCGAAGTTAGCGTTCTACCAATTGGAGAAAGAGCGGAAGCTTTAAGCCTTTCACGACGAAGTGAGTAACGTTCATATTCAGAATGAAGTATTCCAGAGCCAGATTGAGAAACTGGCTCGAGACCATAAGAATATTCTGGAGGTCCTTGAGCGCAGCGGCTGATTCACCCGAAGAAGAGATATCGTACTGATAGTAAGGGCGGAGACGAACAAAGTAAAAAGCAGGTTGAGAACGCATCCCGCGAGGCAACTCGATCATGTATGCACTGCCTTCTAAATGTAGTACACAAAACGGGCCGATGTACATGGGTTATAGGTTAATGCTACCCACAGTAGTTGCTACGTGCTCAGGTAAATTTACTGTAGACCCAAGTCTTTAAAATTAAAAAGAAGAACGTTTGCTCTTCCAAGTTTGTCAGCGTTCCATTTCAGCCGGTCCACCGATTTAGCGATGGAGTCTTTATAAAAAACGGACCACTGCTTCTTGTGCCAGAAGGGTATCTTCTGCTGCATCAATTTGGTTTGTTGCCGTGCACCTTGTGCGCACAGCTACAAGATCATCTTCTTCATCAGCTAGGGTTTTCTTATCCTTGCTGATGTAGGCGTTGGCAATTTTAGATACATTATCATCTTCAATAGTGTTGTCAAAGTTGATGAGAAAATCTGCTTTAATGTCGTTCAGATTGACATCGGCAATTTTTGCGTCGTCGATTACCTTTAAACGTGATGAGAAAGAGCCAAAACGTTTTTGCACGCTTGAACTAGAGTCACACTCTTAATGGGTGGGTAGGCGTATTCGGTGTTATCAATTTACAAATATATGGTGTACGCGTTGTCGATGCCTGCACGAATTCCTGATTGGGAAAGCAACAACAAGCAAAATTTGCTCCAATCTGTGACTGATGTTAATGTTTACTTGAGTATCTCTTCGAGGGTGCAGTTGGCGCGTTCTGTCCGACCACCATTTTCGGGTTGGTCAGAAGTAGACATGTCCAGACGTGTTACGAGGGACCGAAACACGAATTGCCAAAACTCTATCTTAAACTGAGTATACTTATCACAAGAATAGTTCACTGGGTAGACCGTGGAGTCGGAATTTCGTGCCAATGAAGACACGGGCACAACCATGTGCCAATATCGACTTGTTAATTTCAGCAAGATGGTAAATCTTGCTGATACGTTTTGCGAACACAGAGGTATCATTTAACTTAAAGCTTCGTCGAAAAAACCGAAGGTGGAGTCTATTTAGACGAAATGCAGCACTCTGCCGGGATCGGTAGAGGCTGTAGTGACGCATGGTATTAAGATCCAGGCTTCACCCACTGGCTTACTTCACAAGCACGAATGTAATTGCGCACGACCTGATGCAGGCAGAGCCAGTAGAAATTGCAACGAACCGTGAAATAAGTCTTCTCACTCCTACGATTCTCACTAGGTGGTGCATCATTGCACTTATACAAGATGCACAAATAAAAAAATCATGAGTAGAAACTTTGGCACGAGGTGTCGCCAGCAACGGCTATAAAATACAGCGACCCGTTGCGTGGTGTGTATCGACCCGCGTAAGATTGACACAAGATGGGTAAATCTTTGAGATATTTTAATAAAGTATTCACCAGATGATAGTGATTCAATAGTGAGACTATCTCTACTGTCGGTTTGCGCATCCAACTCTAAATTGGGTCGGCGTAGCAGTGCATCAGAGACGAAAATCAGGCGATCGTGTTCGTACTTGACGGAGAAGTTAAACTTCGCACAAAAGGGCAGACACCTTGTCATTCTTTGCGATAATAGTGGTCTAAAACCGTACTTGATGACGCATGGTCCATATTAAAAACGAGGGGTACATCACCTAGCAGACATAATTTCAAATTAGCCATTGCACACTTCATTGCAATGAGCTACTTGTCATGCATCAGTTAGTTGCGCTCAGCTGCTAGCAGCTGACGCGACTGATAAAAGACGACGCGTTCTGAGCCGTACGCATTTTACTGCATTAAAGCGCAGCCGATTGTAAAAACATTGGCGTTGCAGACCACATGGAATGATCTGTCTTGGTCTTAAGTTACCAAGGTAGGCAGTTACAGCAAGATCTTCTTGGTTCCTTCATAGGAGCGCTGACAACCAATGTTCTGTGACCAGTTCCATTTTTTTAATAGACGAGAGATGAAAACGGTCATCTTTGCGTACTTGCGCGAAAATTCGTGTTATTACGCCACTAGACCTAGGAACTTTTCAAGCCCATAAAATTCGACTGGTACAGGCCATTCGGCAATCACTTTAATCTTATCTGGATCAGGGCGTACGCCAATTTTTTCCACGATGCACCCAAGGAGTGGGATTTTGCTAGCATCGAATATACATTTCTTAAGGTTGGCATACAGCATGCAATTGCGCACGAGTTTAAGGATATGAAGAGCGTGTGTAATGTGAATTTAATGTCCATCGATCCGCGCATGTACCGGCTATGGACGAACAACTCGTTGAAGTAATCGGTGCGAAGTCGAGCCCCAGTCTCAACAATTTTTTCACACATCTGTCGAATATAGCAGGGGCTTTGCTGAGCCCTTGTGGCATTACTATACATTCCCCTAGCATTCGCTCGGGTGCTTACTTCCGTGTACGGAATGTCCCGTTTACACACAATGATCTAATAGAACCCATACATCAGATCCATGAACGTAAAGATGGTACTTTTTGCCATACCATCTATGATGACGTCCCTCCTTGGTATCGGCGTTTATGCCGGTACCGTTGCAGCATTTTATCTGTTGAACGCGTGCAATATACGTCACCCTCCTATGGCCTTTCGCATACAGAAGGTCGGAGATTTGTGAGGAAAAGTCGTCCTTCTCACATGACCCGCAGCTAAGTGATCGGCAACGCACTTGTCTATCGCAAACGCTTGTTCACGAGGCAGTGATCACTGCTATAAACCAAAGTACTTCGACCCTGATTTGAGCTCGATTTCCTGTCGATTGCCTTTATCCTTAGGCATGTCGCATGGTACGAATTTAGGATACACGTCCTCAAATTCGATCAAATGTTTAAAAAAAGAATATGCCTTAAAGGAGTGCCAGAATTATAACGTGTATCGCTCACTACGAGTCTTTTCATCGAGGATAATTTCTTTCATCGATCAGATGCTGAGATCTTGTTCTTTGTTAGCAAATTAAGTTGCCAAC